TATAGAAAATCAGTAAGAGGAAGTTTTTTTCCAGTAATCAGACTTCAGGCTGCTCTCCTGAATTGAGAAAATAATTTCCTGAGTATTAGTGATGACACCCTCAGTGTGGGTAGAAGAACTGTATTTTAAAGTGAAATGACTATATTGTTTTTTAACTTTTATCAGCGAGGCTGGGTTGGGGCTACAGTTGAAAATCTTTGGCGCTTCAAAGAATCTTGCGGCTTGTTTAAGCAGTAAAGGTTGTAATGGTCTCAATTTCAATAAACCAACGTTTACTATGCATAGGCAATTAAAATTTAAGCCTTTTGAAAAAATGACCAATACAGACGCAAACCAAAACCTATCCAGTTCCAAAGCGGTGTGGACCTGTACATGCCGAAGCATCTATTTAAATTCCTGCGTTATAAGGAAAATTACTCTTCCTTAACTTTTATCCATTTGTAAAAGTTTATAATGCCAATTATAACTATTAAGCAAACCTGCTGCGTTAGGTTAAAATTATTAGCATTAATTTTAAGAGAGAAAGAGGAAACCAGAAGCAACATGAGAACAGAGTTGGCTATTCTAGATACGCTTGCAAATGACACCACACTTGTTTTTTCCTCGCCCTGTAAAATGTACCGATAAAATGGATTTTCTGGGACGTGCTGGGTGGCCGGCTTTTTCCCTAGCGGGACCTTCACAAGTTCATGACCTGATGGATGTTAAACGCTTGGGCTAAAGGCCAGGTGGCTCTTCAGCGTCAAATCCAATGGCGGTGCGGACAGGCGGAAAACCTCTCCGGTGCAGAATGTGGACGTCGCGGCACTCAGCACCCGCGGGCGGGCAGTGGCCGGCGAGCCGGGCTCCACAGGCCTGGCGGAGGCCGTGCGGCCCGGTGCACAGCTCGCTTCCGCCTGCAGTCCGCCCGCTCCCCGGGCCAGCCTCTGCGTCAGGGACGCGGAAACCCCGTAGGAGCGGGGCGGGCGGGGAACGTGAGTCTCGGCGGTCACTTGCTGCAATATTCTTCCGCCGCGCAGCAAAGAGTCCCAACCCTTCCCCGGGCCCCTGGGACTTCCGGCGCCCCTGAAATATGGAGGAATTATCACATTTGGATTTTCCCATCAACTTGCACAGGGTTTTATTTGAGGTAACGACCTCAGGAATAAAATTTGGGGGCTGATCGAAGAGCGAGCGGAAATTCCTCCGCAAGAAACGGGTTCCGGCCGCGAGCCTATAAAAAACGGGTGGGGCGAGCCCGCTGTCTTTTCAGTCGGGCGCTGAGGGGGAATTTGGACATGTCTGGTGGCTCCGCGGATTACAACAGGTATGGCGCTTTCTCCGTGATACTATTTTGTGGCGAAGGTCACGTGCCGCCAGAGATGGTGGTAGTAGGTGGCACGGAGGGAAGAAACTCCGGGTTCATTGGTGTTTCCTTGGGGGTACAGCAGCACCCCCGTGCCCTTCGAGAAACTTCCATGTTGGGTAGTGCCCCAGATTGCGGGGAGACCGGATAAGAGTATTAAGAGGACTGGTGACGAGGGATCTTTTCTCGAGGAGCTGTCGGCCGCCGCCTCTCCCGGGCGGCGCACGGCAAACATTTTAGCGGTGGCGCAGTCCGCAGTCGGTATAGGTTAGCGGGGTCCTGGAGGTTTATGCGCGGACAGCGGCGCGGGTGGAGGCCCAGGTGTAGGGTGGGGTGGGGGAAGGTGGCCGCAGCCACCCCGCGGCCCGCAGGCGGCGGAACCGAGCGGACGAGGGTCCCGGCGAGCCGTTGGCATAGCCTCGCCGGGCCGCTGGGCCGCGTTAATCGGCCGGCTTGCGCAGTGCGGGGGGCGGAGCTCCGGAGCTCTCGCGAGGAGCGGCGTGCACTGGGCCGGGGGCCGGGGCCGCCTTTCCGGGCGCCCAGCCCTCAGCCTGCAGGGAAGGGGCACAGGACGCTGTGTGCGCTCACCGCCGTCCTCATTGGCTCCTGGAGGCAGTGCACACATGCCAAACCCTACCCGGTTACCGTGGAGCCTGTTCCTACTCACAATGAGCCTCTAGGATAGTAGAGCTGCCCCATAGGGTTTCCGATGCTGTAATCTTTATTGAAGCACGCTGCTGCGTCTTTTTCGAGTTCCCTCCCCCCCCAAAACCCAAACCGGTTGTCAGCGAGCAGATTCCGACTCAGCGACCCATAGATTCCCAAGGAGCGGCTGGTGGATTCGAACTGCCGATGTTCAGCTGAGCTCTTAACCACCGCGCTTTCAGGGCTCCATTTTATCTGAAAGGGTTAGAAGAAGGTGACTTGATAAAGGGACTGTCCTAACTGCAGTATTCTCGTCAGCAGAGAACATGGCGGCCCTGAGGGAATGGACCCCGATGGTGTCATTGAGGTAAGAAAGGTGTGTGGTTTTTGAAAAACTCTGGGAACATGAGGCTGTTGCCCCTATTTACTTTTTCCTTTTTTTTTTTTTTTAAAAACAGAGCAACTGGAATGAGATTGTTGATAACTTTGATGATATGAACTTAAAGGAGTCTCTTCTGCGGGGTATCTATGCTTACGGTTTTGAGAAGCCTTCAGCTATTCAGCAGAGAGCTATTATTCCTTGTATTAAAGGTAAAAGAAAATCTTTGGGCTTAGAAGACGAATTCATTTGTGTTGCATAGACATGGACCATGAAAGGGAAAATAACTTGGGAGACTAGCATGTATTTGGTATTCCTTAAAGTGAAATGATGGCAATCATCTTTCGGGACTGACCTGAAATGAAGAGAATACTCATTGCTGATCACTTAATTCTTTGGGCATAATTCCTGTTCCAAAATGAATACATGGTGTGATCTAGAAGGACGGTTTGATGTGGGATCGGTAAATATGTATCCTACTTTTTTTAGGATATGATGTGATTGCTCAAGCTCAGTCAGGTACTGGCAAGACAGCCACATTTGCTATTTCCATCCTGCAACAGTTGGAGATTGAGTTCAAGGAGACCCAAGCACTAGTATTGGCCCCCACCAGAGAACTGGCTCAACAGGTATTGATAGTGTAGTTCAAAAACTGCTTGCGTGTTGCATAGGTTTCAGGTTTCACAACTGAAGGAGACAACAGTGTAAATTGGTCCTATCAGAGCCTTCCTTCTAACTGACAATGCATGCAGGGAGTTTTGTAGGTTGTTAAAACAGGAACTGGGTATGCAGATGGTTGTTTCTCAAAAGATCAAGAAACCAAAGATTTCTTCAGGGTGCACTACATGTGTCCCCATTTTTAAGTTTGAATGCAGTTGTGCAACATGAAAACTGCAGTGACATGTTAAACGTTAGCCTGTCTTGGTAGTTTGTGATATAGCTGTTGCATGCTCTGTTTTCAAAGCTCAGTTATATTGGCTTTGAAATAAATCTTTCTAATAAAGCTGTAAGCTCTATAAAGCTCAAGACTAAAAATCACAGTATACACTATAGGAAAGTTAAAAAACCATTAACAATTTTCTTTAGTTGTGATTAACAGCTTGTTTTCACTATTAACATTTTCCTAGACAGTGAAGAAGAATGTAGGGAATGTTTTTGGTACAAGTAGCGATACTTGTAGGGAGATAGAATCCCAAGTTTGACAAGGTACAAACGTGAGACATTTGAAGGGAATTCTGTCTTGAAGCAGTTTATGAAATCTGCATTTTAAGCTTGGAAGTATTTATGTGCTGTGCATGCATAAAAGTTGTTCGCAGACCAGATACTTGGCATTGTTGTGAACATTAGTCAATAGAGCCTGTAAGTCTGTAGGATAATAATTGAGGCTTCTGGCTTTTAGATCCAGAAGGTAATTCTGGCACTTGGAGACTATATGGGAGCAACTTGCCATGCCTGCATTGGTGGAACCAATGTTCGAAATGAAATGCAAAAGCTGCAGGCTGAAGCACCACACATTGTTGTTGGTACTCCAGGGAGAGTCTTTGATATGCTAAACAGGCGATATCTTTGTAAGTATTGCCCTCTTAGAGCATAATCTGATTTTGCAATTGATAACACTGGATAGGGAAGTTGAATTGTATCCATGAGAACCCAGAAATGATAGTGTAACATTGTTTTTAACAGCTCCAAAATGGATCAAAATGTTTGTTTTGGATGAAGCAGATGAAATGTTGAGCCGAGGGTTTAAGGATCAAATCTATGAGATTTTTCAAAAATTAAATACAAGTATTCAGGTGAGCTTTTTCTCCCCTTGTTGTACAGCTGGAGATGTGGTCAAATGCAGGTACTGTTAAGATATAACTGAAGTGTTAATTGTTCCTCCTGCTTAAACAATCGATGTATAACTATTTCTAGCTTAATTACATAGTAAGATAGAGATGCTTGGTCTCCAACATTTTTCCTTGAGTATTACTGTGAAAGCTTGGTGTAATGTACTTGTGTGCCAACATAATTGTCCTTTTTTTTAAGGTTGTGTTGCTATCTGCCACAATGCCAACTGATGTGTTGGAAGTAACTAAAAAATTCATGAGGGATCCAATTCGAATTCTGGTGAAGAAGGAAGAATTAACCCTTGAAGGAATCAAACAGTTTTATATTAATGTTGAAAGAGAGGTAATTTGTTAGACATAAAAAATTTCACCAATTTTTTACTTCTTGTATAAGCACTGTGCTAAAATTGCAGAAACTAGGACTCTGTCTTGGTTTTTGTAATAATGCTAGCAGAGTACACACAGGAAGAAAAGTAACTGCACTAGATTGGAAAGACTGGGGTGGACCTCTTTCTTAATGTCCAGTGTCCTTTGTCTTAAGATTGAGTGCGATAAAAGTCTTCAGAGACCTAATAAAATAAATGTTTAAGGAGAGAAAGTTGGAAACTAAATGCTTAAACTGTGTTTTGTACTTGGAATTCTGTAGGAGTGGAAGTTGGATACACTTTGTGACTTGTATGAGACACTGACGATTACACAGGCTGTTATCTTTCTCAACACAAGACGCAAGGTGGACTGGCTGACTGAGAAAATGCATGCTAGGGACTTCACAGTTTCTGCGCTGGTAAGAGGTGTTGTAACTTAGCAGTAATGAAGACGTCTTTCTATTAAAGCAGGATTTAGACTACAATATAGCTGTTAAGTGCTGTGTTGTCGTTCCCCCTGCTCAAAATAAACTTGTTTCTTATCTATCCCTGTCTGCTCTGCTCCTGTAGCAGCCCAGGGACGCTTGGTCTCATACACACTGATGAAATTAAATACTGGCTTCAACTGGTAATTGTTGAATTAAGGTTTGTTAATTTGCAGCATGGTGACATGGACCAGAAGGAGAGAGATGTGATCATGCGGGAATTCCGATCAGGGTCAAGCCGTGTTCTCATAACTACCGACTTGTTGGTAAGTGGATTTTTTACTTGTTTTAATCTCTCTACCAAAAGTTTATTTTGGGGGCAAGGTTTTTTTTAGTAACCTTTACCGATTCAGGCTATTTGGGAGAATAAAGACCAGACCACACTCCACAGTGGGCTATACCACTTAGTATAGTTCACTACTCTTTGGTGGCCTACATTACCTGGGTGTCCCACTTTTTTATGAATTAGAATTTGAACATACACGGTTTTATTTCAGGCTCGTGGGATTGATGTACAACAAGTGTCTTTGGTTATAAACTATGATCTACCTACCAATCGTGAAAACTATATTCACAGGTGAGTAAATGGCATCTTGACTTTTAGCATAATGACATTCACATACTGCTCTGATTTTTCTGAAAGGTAACATCAAATCAGGGAATTGATTTAGAAAAATGACCTTTGTAACTTGAGAGGTAATTAAAGTTGTACTTGGGAAGACTTAGGTTGGTCAGAACACAGTGGGAAGACAGTTGTGTTGTCCAAATTCCACACAGAGAGCAGGTTTTAAACACGTTGGTCCTAGCTTACGTTTGAGTTTAGTCATGTTGCTCTTGTGTCCATGTGCTTTCTTGATCATTGATTCCTCTATAGTTGGGATGTTCTTGGTGTCGTCTGGTAGCAATTTGAGTGATCCCTGGTTTAGTTATAGTGGCTTTATCCCTAAATAAATTGAATTGTACCTTGTTATATGATGTAAAAAAAGACTTTTTAAAAAATACAGGAGTCGATAGCAGCAGTTGATGGCGAGATGGCACTCAGAAACGGCGTTGACGTAATTTAGGACGTGGAATCATAAGCGAAACAGCACACTGTTTGAATAAAGAGCGAGTCGGTATTTATATATTTGTTTTTCTTTTGTCATGATTATTTGCTATTTTAAGTAGCTCCAGTCAAGGCATTTTTTGTTTATTAGCCATTTTATTAGGTGGTTTTTTATTGTCTGGTTTCTGTCAGAAAGGAAGAGAGCGGTTTTAGGAGGTAAACACGTTTGAGTAATATATATTACAACGTGTGAGACAAACTGAGCAAAAAAGCAGTGATAAGTTTGGGTTACCATACCAAATATTAGTGTTTTCCCACTGGAAAAAACTTGTAGGTTTTAGAAAATAGATAACCTTGTAGCATTTACATTTACAGTTCACAGTTCCAGAAATGCGTCGAAATGGAGTACATAACTCTTTCTTTTTGTTTCGTCCCTGGTGTTTACATCTGTCCCAGGATCACACCTTCTCTTTGCTGGCCCACTTGGGTATGGGCTTTAACTCACTACCCCAAACCCAGTACTGTCATCTGCTTTATAAAAACAGTGCTCAAGATGCCTGACAATCTCATTTTGCAGCCAGACAGCCTTTGAATTCTTTTGGCACTAACTGCAAAGGAAGATTCTTTTCTCTAGATACTTTGATTAGCAGCTAGTGCTCCAGTTAGAAGCACGACCTATACCCTTGATAAGTAAACAGCAGCTGATGGTTAACAAGTGGATCGTCATGTGCAGTAGTTCACACAGTGCTGAAGTAACATTCTGATGGCGGATGTGTTTTTTTTCCCCGCATACAGAATTGGCAGAGGGGGTCGATTTGGGAGAAAAGGTGTGGCTATAAACTTTGTTACTGAAGAAGACAAGCGGATTCTTCGTGACATTGAGACTTTCTACAATACTACAGTGGAGGAGATGCCCATGAACGTGGCTGACCTTATTTAATTCTTGGGATGAGATGGTTCCGAATGCCGTGCTCGCTGTTGTTGAATAGGCGAGATCACAACGTGCATTGTGCTGCTTTCTTTGGGAATTTCTGAATCTTGTCTCAATGCTCATAACGGATCAGAATTACAGATTTTGATAGCAAAGCGACATTAGTCGTGAGCTCTTGTGAGGAAAGTCACTGGCTTCATCCTCCTTAGAGTAGACTGTTGGGGTGGGTATAAAAGATGGGGTCTGTAAAATCTTTTTTTCTTAGAAATTTCTTTCCTAGTTATGTAGAAATGGTTGTATTAGATGTTCTCTATCATTTAATAATATACTTGTGGACTAAAAGATATAAGTGCTGTATTAAATCAGCCAATTATGTCAAACTAGCATATCTGCCTTTATTGTGTTTGCCATTAGCCTGGATAGAAGGGCCTTTAAGACTGATTTTTTTTTTTTTTTTTTTTAAGAAAGCATTTGAATGCATTTTGTTTGGTATTTATTCAATAAAGTATTTAATTAGTGTTAAGTGTGAACTGGACCCTGTTGCTAAGCCCCAGCAAGCGATCATATCCTAGGTAGGGTTAAACCCCCAGTAAAATTGCCATATTGCACATGTCTTAATGAAGTTTGAATGTTGAATAAATTGTATATTCACTTAAAAGTTGCTTTGGTCATTTTTTTATTCTTGGCATAACCCCATATTTACAAAGGATTTAAACCATATTCAGTTTAACAATTCTGCGTTAACTGCTGCATGACGGTCGCACAGAGACTGATGAGTTGCAGATGCTCGTCTGCACCATCTGCTAAGCATTTCTCCACCTCCTATGGGAACAGAAGAGTGTTAGCAAGTAAGACCCCTTCAGGTGTCCTTAGAGCAAGTGAAAGTGTCTACTTACCGCAAGCTTTTCTGTAATAACAGACTTCTGTTTATCAGAGAGGTCCTTCTCTATGACTACATCGTGAAATTGATTTACAAGCTGAGTTGCTGCGTGACCCTCATCTATCAAATCCTGTGTAACAAAAGCTGACATGAGTGTGTTGGCCTTACTTACCCCTTCCCAACAGTAAACCGACTTTACCTTGACCACAGCTTCTAGTTTGTCAAAGGAGCCACTCTGACATACAGTGAATATTCCATCAATTGTCTCAGCTGGTATTACCTAAAAAATAGGCATTAAAGCTGTTAGTTTCTGGGTGAAGGTAGTTGGTGAAATACACTCCTCTCCCTTACCAAGTAGTTGACTGAAAACAGGAATGACTCCCTTTAGTTGCTACCTTCAGTTTCTGTTCTAGACAGCCTGCTCAAACGTGACTGGGCCTCAGCTCGCCTCTAGGTTAAGTAAGCTCTTTATGCTCCCTACATGCTTGAGCTCCAGAGAGATGACCAGTTCAAAAGGAACTCTCAATCTTGCTCCCTAAATAAACCCAGTAACACCTGACGATCTGCTCCCATAAAGATGACAGCCTTCGAAACCGTGTGAGGCAGTTCTGTCCACCTATGAACCAAATTCAACTCGATGGCATACAACAGCTCCCTCACCTAGGCTTGCCAATAAATTTATATGCTTCTAGTTCAGTAGTCACTAAGTTAGCTTGGTTCTGTGTGAAATAACAAAACTTCCTTCTCCAAAACAGTCACCACAGCATGAAATGTCTGTAACGAGCTGAAAATGACATGGGAGTATAGAAGATGGGTGTAGCACTAACGAATTTATACACTTTGGATATGCCTCGTTTATATGTGACCCTTTGGCAGGATAGATTTTATGTATGAGAACAGGTTATGTGTTAAAATGCAGTTACAACTGCCATTAAAAAAAAACAACTACCTCTTAGACTTGCAGGTGTTAAGTGCTGAAAACAGCTTCCTTCCCTGAAACATCTTTTACTGTTCAACATGCCTGGCAAACTGAAAAGGATCAATTGTAGTAGTACCCCACTCCTGAAGCGTTCTGGAACTCCCAGGTTATGCCCTTATTACAGTTTTACTTACCTGCTGCAATAAGCATTCAGTACACATTTGCTGGATACAAAGCCAGTGAAAGCAATGAAGGCTGTCTAGTGCTCTTACCCCAGCAATGTCCATGATCACCCTCTCTGTGACCTCCTTTCCGCCAGTTAACCGAGTAGCACTTTGAAGGAATGTAATGGCTTTTCTCAAGTCTCCTTCTGACACTTTAACAAGATAACCTATTCCCTTAAGAGAGAAAAAGTTCTTTTTAACCTGTGATCGCCAGTTAAGGCCTTTTGATTTTGAAAACAGAAAAGTAGAAAACACTATGCTTCAGTCTAGAGTCAGCAGGGGAAAAGCATAAAGTTTTTTTTTGTTTTTGAGGAAATAGGAGATTTTAGTAGAATGAACAGAAAAATCATCAAATGGGAAGGCTAGGGAAGAGATCTCTTACTCTGAAAGAAATCTACAGAGATGAAGAGACGTTTCATACACCTTCTTTTATCAAAAAGGAAAAAAAAAATACAAATTATGGTTAAAGTCTGTTCTATAACAAAAAGGGGCCAAAATTTCATACCAAGTTAATTCTTGAAGTGGAATATTAGCTAGGACACTAAAATCTTCTAATTATGCAGACACGTTGTTACAGAATTTACACTGTATATGTATGAAATCTGCCTCAGTTTTGATTCTCTGAGATACTGATAGATAATAAGCTAGCATTAAATGACCCTTCCAGTAGTAACAGAAAGGCTGGACTTTTTAATTCCTAGACATCCCACTGCTGCTCATTTAGCTTAAGTTTGCCTGAAGACGTGGCATCGAGATTTGAGTCTCTTAGTGCCTCCTCCTATGCATTCGTCAAAGGGATTGGTAACAACACAAACATTACCTCGTTGCTAATGTTGACATTTTCCTTCTCAGCAATGTCCAGTAGTCGCTGCTGCTGACTTTTATCTGACAGAGGTTTGAAGCGGAATTTAGAACATCTAGAGGTTAGGGGTTCAATTATTCTGTAAAAGAGAAGATTGGAAACAGCAAGTCAGGGTCAAAAGAAAGAATTTCCCAAAAGAACTTGTTTTTATTAACAAGAAATCAAGATTTGATGGAGGAGAAATTAAAGAAATGCTGCCCTGAAGAAAAATCTGTTCCCTCTCTAACTGGGGTTATCCAAAGGGGCTGCCTGGCGTCTGTCGTCAGGGCAATTACACACCGACTGACGTAGTTACAGATGAGGCAGAAGCGGGTGGTCTTAGACTCCTTCTCCATGGTGCGCCTTAACGCGGCCTGAGCAGCCGAGGTCATGGAGTCAGCTTCATCCAGAATCACAATCTTAAAAGGAGGACACGGCTTCCCACTGACGCAGAGAAACACACAGGAGTTGAACGTTAGTATGTGGACATTGTTTTTGGTTAACAGTTTTATTGGGATATGATTCACATACTATACGATTCAGTGTTCTTAGTATATTCACAGGGTTGTACAATCATCACCACTCTATTTTTTTAGAACATTTTCATGACTCCAGAAAGAAACGATGACCATTAGGAGAGATTCGTCTTCTCTCCCAACTCCCCCAGCCCTAGGTAACCACTAATCTACTTTGTCTCTATAGATTTGCCTATTCTGGATATTTCATATAAATGGAATCATATGTATGTGGTCTTTTGTGACTGCATTGTTGACTCAAGGTAGATATCAAAAATTAGTCACTCACTTTCTACAAATTTTGAAGTGTATTCGGATAATAAAATTTATATGTCCAGTGTGGTGCAGTGAATTACTTAATATGGTCCTTCTAGCCATAGTCTTTGCGACTCCCACACAATGATTGGGTGAGACTATACAAACAAGGTGTATCAAACCTGTGATGGTTATGTATCAACTTGGCTGGACCATGATTTTCAGTGGTTTGATACTTGTGTAACGATGCAGTCATCCTCCATTTTGTGATCTCATGTCATTATCCTCCATTTTGTGATGTGTTGTAAATCCTAGCCTCTCTGCCTATGATGAGAAGCCCTGGTTGGCGCAGTGGTTAAGCACTCAGCTGGTAGCCAAAAGGCAGTGGTCTGAACCTATCAGCTGCCTAAGCAGTATAAGTACATCACTGTTTACCTTAAGGCAATTCTATTTTAGTTATTATTAATTATATCTCCTTTCACTCTAAAGCTGTTCCAGTTTGGACAAGAATATATATGGTCACTCTTAACTATGAAACACATACTGAAGCTTAAGTTGTCAGACAGAAAAGGACGGCAACTTTTCTAACACAATTGCAAAAATCAGGATTTTTATAATGAGTATACCACCAAACTATCAAATATGATTAATAAATACTCCTTGGACAAAACATCAGTAAAAACCTTGACAGCTATGCAATTTCAAACTTAGTGTAATAGGAAAGTCATTCCTGGGCTTAAATAATTTAGATAAAAATACAATCTAACATTAAAAAAAGGAGTTGCAAATTTGGAAAAACTTATTTAAAACAAGTACGATGACAGGCCACAGACAAGACAAGCTTACTTACTCTGAGCGACTTCCTGACACAGTTAACTGAGCAAAATTCTTCACTTTCTCCCGAACTACTTGGATTCCACGTTCATCAGATGCATTTAATTCGAGAACTCTCAATCGAAAAAGTTCAGGCCTATGTCAAAATCAAACAAATGTGAGACATCATAGGGCACACAAGTTACAGGTTTAAATTATATTGTAACATTTGCACACTTTGCCGTAGTTTAAAATCCACGTAGTAAACAATGTGGATAAAAATGATTGTGTTAAAATTTTTGGCAGTTTTTTCTATTCATTTTTTAAAACTTAGATGATATCACAATGCATAAAATTTTAAATCAGTTTCCCACTTAGTGTTGTATTGTAAGCATTTTACCATGTCATCAAAACCACTGTAAATGCCATTTTAATAGTTGCATGATACTTCATGCTATGAACGGGCCATTGTTTACTTAATTTACTTAACATTCCTCTATTGTTAGACAATAGGTTAAAATATATTACAATTCTAAATAATCTGCAGTACAGCACATTTTGATTTCCACAAGGTAGCTTGCTATAAGGAAAACTACCAAGTTAAAATATGAACTTTTTTTTTTAAGTGAGGCTTTTTTTAATGATTATTAAAAGTAGCCTATGCTCCCTGTAGAAAAATCTCAGAAAGCAAAAGAAAATTGAAAATGACTAGCACACCTGCCAAACCACTGTTTTGAAAACCTTCCTCTAGTTGTTCTTCTACATCTATATACTTGTAATGAAAAAAATAAAGAGTTGACATTTATAGTTTTGTCTTCATTTTTCCCAATTAGCATGGCATTCTAAGCATTTTTCCACGGGCTTGAATATTTAGGAAGCTCTGTGTGTATATATCTTTTCTTTTCTTTTAGTTCTATATGGACAAACATTATTTTATACAGGCTGTAAGAAAGTTATATTATTTCACACTGACCTCCTCCCCAGTAAACAATAACAAGCTACTAGACAGTCTCATTAGGACTACATTGCTAAGGCTGGTTCAGCCTGCATCTGACTGACTTGCAGAATAATAAAAAATGCTTTTACAACCTTCTTGAGAAACAAAAGTTGCTGTCAAATAAAACATTAAGCTCACAGCAGCTTCCCACTTTGTCCTCTTTTACATTTCGACAGAACTAATTATTCTTACATATTTGGTGGCTTCAGAGGCACCAAATTTTCATACATAGGATTTCAGATGTACCCTTGGGCCATATGCTCAACAATCTGGATGAATTCAATGCTCCATGGACTTCAAACCCAGGTTGCTCTGTATTTTTTAACTCCAGGTAAAGGGCTCTCTAGAATGACTGGCTAAGCTGAGAGAGTGAATCTAAGAAGACTCTAAAAAGATAGCTTGCAGAGAGATTTTCTGGTGTTCTGGAATTGTCCTGTGTCAACTGCTACGTGTTCTGCATGCACTCACGGGAAGTGTGGGCAAGGGGCTAAGCTGGCTGCTCCAGAGCCAGGGCCTGGGGAGGCCAGAGCAGAGGCAGCTCCAGGAGGAGTGGCGGGGCCAGTAGCAGCAGACACAGCAGAGATTGTCAAGCAACCACACAGATGTGCAGGCAGTCATTAAGAGGATAAGGACTGGAGACAGGCTGGGTCCCCTGGGCTCCAAAATCAGAACAAAAAAGTTAAAGAAAGGCATGAGGGGAAAAAAAAAAATCACAAGGCTCCCTATATGTAGCACATTCAACAATGAGGGTTACAAAGACATAGGCAAGGTCATTTATTGGTGGGGGAGGGGTGGGGAAGGGTGGGCGGAGAAAGGGGAATGGGCCCGCTGGATTAATAAGATATTCAGAAACAAAAGACAAACCCAACAACCCTACAGAGAAGTCAAACACAAACCTTTAGGGAAAGAAGCAATACCAGAGATTTTTGGTGTCAAGTCTTAAAAAGAAAAAAAGATATCAACTTACCCAAAGAGTTCCCTCGCTGCTGCCAAAATAGTTGATGTTTTTCCAGTTCCAGGTGGCCCGTAAAACAAGAGATTAGGGAGCTGGAGAAGTTAAATTTTATTTTTAATAAATTGTATTCTGGCACAAATAGATGAAAATCATCACTAAACATGTCTGCGGAATAGATCAATGACTTCCCTAATAGAGAGGGTACATATATATCTAAACCGATTTCTTAATATAATTGGTATCATGCTATTAACAGCTCTAAATCCTGCTTTTCCCCCCGCAGAATACTATTACTTTTTCCCAAAATGCCTTTCTTATCTCTTAAACGGAATCAACATTTATGATTGCTCTATACCGAATCCACATAGGTAGAACTTTCAAAACTGGGATTAGAAACGTGTTATTACTTGTGAAGGGAAGCCCAGATTTCTGTCAGTTCCTTATTCCACACCTTTGCTCAGGACTGGGTGAGAGTTTGTATTTTATAAAGATGTCAGCTGCTTCAAGAGGGGAAACACACCACTGGCGTGATCGAATTTGGCCAATATTGAGAAAAAAGGAGTTAAAAAGGCATATTAGGCATTTTCCAAGAACAGAAACATTAAAAATAAACTAAGCACCTATAAGTGCCAGGCACCGTTCCAGATGATGCTTATGTACCATGTAGGGATGCCTGTGTGAATCAGGGAGAATTTATCAGAGGGAAGAAGGATAAGATTAAATAATTAGCTATCTTCTTTTATATGCTGGATTTAGCTAGCTTAGCTCCTATTAAGCAGGGAATTGATCTGTGGTAAAGATTAATAAGTTAAGGCACTAAATTCTAATGAGCTCTGTTATAAAACTATATTATTCAGTATGCCTTTTCACATAGGGAAATCACTGCATACAGGAAACTAGACAATATAATTTATTTGCTTCCACTCTTGTCTAACCCTCCTACTTCCCATCACTCTGTTTGCTACTTAGAACTATTCACTGGCTTCACACTCTGCTTAGAAAAAAAACCCAAACAAGCTGCTTATCATGACCATAAGGACTTCCATGATCTGGCCTACCACCTCCTTCACTTTCTAGGTTCCAACTTACAGGCCTCTGGCCTGCACATATGCTGTTCCTACAACCGGGGGTCTGACCCCTTCATTCTGCCTGGCCAACTCCTACTGCATTATAAGTCAGGCGTCTCCCCTGCTACGCTCTCATCACAGGCTTTGTTGCGCTTGCTGCAATCTGCATTTATTTATTAAACTTATTTACCCGTTGGGTTTAGTTGTAAAATGCCTGCCTACCTCACCAGATGTCAAACTTAAGAAGACCGAAACCTTTACTTGTCCTGTATGCATCTGAATTTCCAGCATCTAGTGCAGTACT